TCAAGCAAAGGATCCTTCTTCCTTCCGCATTCCTGAGAAGTCAGAGCCCAAAAGCCTGCTTGCAAGGACTTGAATTTGTACCTTGGACTTGTGTGCCTAGCTGTTATGAAACAGTCATAGAAATAAAACTATAGGCATGCAGTTTCAATTAAGTGGAAGAATATTAAGCATAATTTGTTTTTAATTCTCACAGTAAGAAGCTCTGTATTGCACACAGTTTAACCAGAAGTAATAAAAAATAGTCTTCATTAGGTATTTTCTTTAATGCAGTCTATGTTTTTAAAGTCTATTTACTGCTGTCTAGGCTGTGATTAAGCCTTCACTGACTGTGAGATCTGGTCTCTATGGCTGCAGAAAATATTTGTTAATTACTTACACAGACTGGTGGCTTGGAACCGGTAAAGTAAGGATTTAACACATTCGTGCCCAAGGATGGATTTTGAGACTAAGATTTTAAACACCTAAATCTCATTCTCAGATCTGCTTGGGAGCTGCTTTTGGAAGGGACACTGAATTTGAGGCCAAGTTTTCAAAAACTCCCGGTACCTTTTCATCTTTAGGTGGCTGATTTACAGGGAACTAGAAAAGTGATTAAGAGCTGCAGAGATGAGACAGGATGAAAACCCCAGTCAGGGAAAGTGGAAATAAGGTGTGAAAGCTTCCTGCAAGCCAGCAGAATCCTGTGCTTTGAATTGCAAGCAAGCTGCCTCCCAGGATGTTGTCCCACTGAAGCAGCTGGCTGCTTGGTCAGAAGGCTGAGGAGTGATTTTCTCCTTTAAAAGTATATTAATAGTTCCTTTTAATAAGACTAAAAATATCAAAAGATATTAGAGTATTCAGCCGAACAACTTAAACAAAATGTCATCTCCACAGAGATCATCACCAGCCTGTAGACTTGGTTAAAAAAAAAAAAAATTTTTTTTGTCTTTTTGTACATAGGAACTTTTTTTTTTTTTTTAAAGAAAATTTTTTTTTCAAAAAATTAACCACAATAGTGCAAGACATTGCAGAGTGGGAATGGTTGCTGAAGGAAGGAAAATAACAAGCTTAGGTCAGCTGAGCCAGTCACTGGATCTTGGGCTCATCCACCCTGACACATGGAATTGGACTATGAACACTGCAAAAATGCAGGGTAAGGAGGGCCACTCCTCTCATTCCTTAGCTAAAAACATCGATCCCTGGTCAATGTAGTTTTTGGAAAGACAGATATTGACCTGTTGAACCCAGTATGCTTTGTCTCCAATCCCCAGCAAATATAGAAATATATGTTGATTGACTTAAGTATGTGTATGTGTGTGTGCTGTATGTGACCAGGTGGGTGCACCCATAGGTATAGACATGTGAAGGCCCGAGTCTGGTATCTTCCTCAATTGCTCTTCACCCCGTTTTTTGAGGCAGGGTCTCTCCCTAAACCTTGTACTCACCAATTGGCTAGAATAACTGGCCACCAATTTCCAGGGATCTTCCTGTCCCCCATCCCATCATCCCCCATGTTGGGGTTACAGTTACATACTGCCACACCAGGCTTTTTCATTTTATACATGGGTTCTGCAGAACTGAACTGATGTTCACATGTTTATGCTGCAAGCACTTTACCAACACTGAATCTTCTCTGTAGCCTCTGTGATAGATTAACATGACTTGGGAACACCACAATGATGCAGTCACTTATGTAACTGAAATTCTATCTAACGAAAACATTGCATGATTGACCTGAACTTGAGATTTGATGTCATCATGATAGCGAGTCAGATTGCCTGTTTTCCTATTTAATTGGAGATTCATTCAGTTGTATTGTCTAATTGGTTTGATGTGCGTGTATGTGAGTGTGTATATCTCAGTGAATGCGTGAGAGTGTGTGTTCAAGCAATCAAATTACAAGGTAAAAGATTATTCTTTATTGGCAAAGGGCATCCATTTCTTGGTAGAATTTGAAATAACTTGCTTTGAGGTTTCTTTTTCTTTTCTTTCTTTTTTTTTGGTGAGAGTGCATACTCTCTTCAGTCTGCCTCAAATTTAGCCTGTTAGCTCAGTTCTTTCTGATAATACAAGTTCCTCAAGCTTAGCATCTTGTGGCAAACACTGGAGTAATTAATCTTGTTCAGAGCTCGCACATGTATAATTAAGAGGAACACCTGATGCTGGGTGTATTTTAGGTTGTAGTCAAATGTAGACATTGATATGTAAGAGCTCAGTGCATCAAAGCAGTTCGCCGCACTCACAGTTTGCAAGGCAAGCATGATTTTAGTTAGACACCCTGGGGTACTCCAAGATGAGAAAGCACAGTCCTGCTAAGTTCACAGTCTGGTCAGGGAAACTTGTATGTACCTAAAATTAGCACCAGGAAATAGGCTACATGGAGAGTCCAGGTTAACAGAAGACACGTGCATTTGGAAGGGGCTGGCCCCAGCTGTCACCTAGATGTTTTCTGAAGGCAGCCTACAGTCCACCTACTTCAGAGTGTTCAGTGACTGTCCTCAAAGGGGTATCTAGTTATCTCATTTCTCCCTGGAGTTCCCAGTGGACTTAGGGCTTGTTCCAAATTTCTCAGTTTATCTCACGAGGACCTGTGTAGATGAACCCTTCAGTGGCTTGTTGTGATGAATGTCCCCAGTCAGCTTAGGGTTGCTTTTGCTCTGGTCTTTATTATCGCTCTCCCATATCTCCATTTCCCCAGTCTAAGTCCTTCTGATATTTATGGTCTCTGCCCCAAGGTCAAAGGGGAGGGGAGCTTTTGGCAGCCCCTGAGTTTGGAGGCTGGCATCCTTCATATATGGTTCTTGGTGCTGCCAGAGAAAATATTCAGCAAGTCAGTGCCATAAAAGAGCTGGGCTTCTCTGGGCATCGGGCTGTCACACTTTTAATCCTGGCACTCACTAGGGAGTCAGAGTCAGTCAGGTCTTTGTGAGAGTGAGGCAGCTTCCTCTTCATACTGAGTTCCAGGCCCGCTGTGGCTACAGGGAGACTTTGTCTCTCAAAAAAGAAAAACAAACAGCCGGCTTTCTCAGACTTGGTGGTACAAGTCTCTAATCCCAGTACTCAGGAGGCAGAGGTAGCCGGATCGGTGTTAGTTATAGGCCACCCTGGTCTACATAGCAAGTTGCAAGCCAGCCAATGCGGCATCGTGAGACCCTGTCTCAAAAACTAAACAAAACCAGCAAACAAACAAAAAACCCCAAACAAACAGCTGGCTTTCTTGCCTTATTGTTCAGAGGCCCTATATCTGATAGGGACTTACTTGGCTCTGATCAGTGTGAGTGGGACATGCTCTCTCTCCTGCTGAAGCCTGTGCTAGCTGGTTTCTAAAAGTTCCTGGCCCCTTCTCCCTCTGTCTCTAACCTCATAAGTATGACCTGTTTAGATCTCTTTGATTTCTGACCTTCCAGGCTCCCCATGTCCCTTAGGTGTTTCTTTGCTTCCTGTGACAATTACAAAACACCTCAGGAAGGGCATGGACAGATGACTCTGCGATTAAGAGCTCTGGCTGCTCTTGCAGAGAACACAGGTTGAATTCCCAGCATCCACACAGCACCTATCAATAACTCCAGTTCTTGAGGAGCCGATGCCCTCTTTTGACCTCCATGGGCATTCCAGGACATGGGTACACTTACATACATGCAGACAGTACTATACTCATACACATAAAATAAAAATAATAAATAAAATACGAAATAATACCTGAGGTAGTTCACTTACGAAGAGATAAAATTTATGGTGGAGATTCCAGTGCAAGATTGAGAAAAAGTATTGCTTGGGGCCTCTGATAGGGATCATGGCAGGAAACAGGCAGTGGATCTAACTGCTCACCCTGTGGACAGGAAGTAAAGTAGGAAGGAAGAGGACAGGGCTGGGGTCCCATAGTCCTTTTCAAGGCACCCAGCCAGTGAGATATCCTACTAGGCCCCATGTCCTGCTGGTACAGCGTACTTCTCAGTAGCCTCACCATTCAAATTCCAGCACCTACCAGGACAGTGCAGGACAGGCTCAAGGTTGTTAGCCTAGTTCTAAGTGCACAGTCCCTTTGTATGGAAGCCAACCTATCTATAGGGTGTGGGACCAGAACATGGATTTCTTTGGAGGGTAGAGCGGGACCCTGTTTCTGTGTGGCATACCATCACAGAGGACTCTGACGGCACATTCTGCCCTGGGAGGAGGAAGTCACGTGTCTCATAAGGCAGGGCCTCTTTATCCTCCTGACATCTAGGAGTTGGGAGAATAGTATGCTGGGGGATGGAGTGCTTACCTAGCATTGTGAAAGGCGGCTGGACCAGTCCCTAGCATTGAGAAGAAAAGAGCTTCGTAAATCTCATTGTCTAGTCCAGTGCTGAATTCAACAACTGACGGATAAAGGTCAACATACATAACTCCACTTCAAGGAAATAACAAACTAGGTTTGACTGAGCCACAAATGCCCAGGAACATGGATTTAAGTGACCTTGAAGAGCATGTTCTACCATGCAGGCTGTTTGCATGAACTTTTCTAGAGAGAGAGGGGAGTCCTAAATCAGTATATCACATGGCTAGGTGGGTGGGCCACAGCAAAGCACAGGGCATTTCTCCTGTGGGTTTCAGGTGTGAGCAGCATTGTTAGCTCTAGAGATTGGTAGAAGCTGGTTCTCTGCTAAGTTTCAACATCCATTCTGAGAAGTTCCATCCTCATGACGATGCTAGATTATGATGTAAGTAAATATTAACCGACTCAGCCCAGAAAAATGTTGGCTCTTGACCTACCACATCCTGTATCACCACAGCCGAGATGTTCAAGTCGAGTCAGGTCAAGTAGCACACAGGATTAGTGTATGTGAGGCTTCTTCACAGAAGCTTATTGGACAAAAGGCAGATCTACCCAGGCATGTCCATGTGCTTCTAGTACCAAGCTGCAATGTCCCCGACGTCGGCAGCAACCACTTAGCCGGCCCTCTCCCCTTCTGGTGCTGCTGTCAATCATCAGTGTCCTTACAGGGCATCAGTGCAAATGCTTCGGAGGGCACAGAATTAGGGCAGGACCTGAGGTGAAGAGCTGTGGCAGTCTGCAGAAGAATAAGCTGAATTCGAGCTGCAGTCTGGCCTCTAGTGCTTTGTCTTTGTGGACTGAGGTCATTTGAAGAGAGAAGGGAAAAAGGAAGAGAGGGGAGAAGGGAGGAGGGAGGGGGAGGGAGGAGGGAGGAAGGAAGGAAGGACACTGAGGCACTAATGCTAGGGAGGAGAGTGTATCCCTGGTCTAGGGGCAGTTTGGTCAGTGGGGCAGGGGGAGGGAGGTTTTAATGCTATCACACAGCTCTGATTGCAAAAGGAATGAGATCATTTATTCTGAATTCAAATGTGTATGAGCATGGCCTAGGAACACAGAATTTCATTACCCCAAATGCCATGTCCTAACACGGTAACAGTTTCATGAATTTTTGCAGTAAGAGAATAAAGAAAGTCATAAATGAAGGGTGTTTAAAAACACATTGGTGCAAACATTAGGTAGGTGGGTGATTGCAAAGTGGTGAACTCTTTTACTAGAGGCTACACATGCTCTTTGATGTCACTTTGTTCTCATTCATTCATTCATTCATTCATTCTTTTGGTCTCTTTGAGACAGCGTTTCCCTGTAGCCCCAGCTGACCTGGAACTCACTATGTAGACCAGGCTGGATTCCATCTCATAGAGATCTATCTCCCTGCCACCCAAGTGCTGGAATTAAAGGCATGTGCCATGATGCGCAACTTCGAAGACATTTTCAGCCCTTAAGTTGGTGGATTCTAGGAGTCTCTTAGTTCATCAAATGAAGGAGTGACGTGCTACTCCAAACAGTATCAGGCCACACTCAGCGGTGGACAATGAGTGGCTGTTAATGGAGCTAAACCTAGTCCAAGAAAAACATAAATGTGGCTTCTGTTTTTCTGGAATCATCAGTTCATAGAGAGGCGATAGGGAGACCGAGATGTGGGAGACACAGGAGGAGGGCGCCGTGGAAGAGAGAAGCTGGAATTGGGAGCGCGCAGTTTGCGTAGACACTAAGAAAGGTAGCTGACGAGGCAGGGTGGGTGTCCTCTCCCGTGTCAGGGCTTGGCATGTGGGCATCAGCCCAGAGGTGAGTCTCCCTGTGCCTCTCCGAAGAGCTGGAGATGGAGCTTCAGGCTCGCTCCTGCTCGGCTGCTCTTCCGCACCAAGCCACACCCGTAGCCGTAGAGCTTCACCTTTTCATTTCGACGCTGTCTCGTGAAATGACCCCAGCTGTCTTGAATGCTCTGTGCAGCCCAAGCAGGTCTTGAGCTTGTGTCCTCCTCCCTCGGCCTCCTGAATAGCAAAGGTTACAGGCCTAGGGCACCCGGCCCAGCGATATGCAATGTTTGAACCAGGGCGAATTGGTTTGAAGCACACACACGCTGTCACTTACCCATGTTGTTTTGTAGGAATGTAACCAGTTTACCTACAAGTTTGCGGAAGAAACCAGAAGGCAGGCTTTGGGAGCAGTGACCCCAGGTTATGACTTCATGGCCCGATTGAGGTACATGTTTCCCTCCTGCCTTTTTCCCCAGACTGTGTGGAGACAGACTGTTGACGACTCGGTACAAACTGTGGCAAGCTCAGCACTTACTCTGCTAAAATATTTACGAGGTGTTCAATAATTAAAGGTGAGTAACGCAGCTCTGTGCGCACTTTCCTCTCTAGAAGCGGAATGGAGTCGATTCTTCCTTCCAACGCACACGAGCTGGCCCAGAATCGACTGTACGTATCCATCACCAATACCCAAACCAGAGAGAATTACCTGGTGTCCACGTTCTCCTCCAGGGAAGACCTCATTAAGGTAACAAAGCCACATTCCCTGTGGAAGAACCAACACTAAACACTTCATCCAAGTAATGAGCATCGCTGCTTTCTTCAGATCCAGTGTCTCCCACTAGGCCTAGCAGATGCTGAATGCTTAGGGAGTTGTGTCTTTGATGAGTGCATCCACCCGCCTACCTCCCCGTGGTGGTCCAGATGCCTCCGCTGCACCTCAGCTTCTCTCGCGCGGTAGTCAGGCCTCAAGTTCACTAGCTAAAACAAGTGCAAGTTTAGTAGCAGTAATAGTTCCTTCAGCTTGTGTAGCTAATCCTTGGTAGTTTCTGTAAGTCTTTGTCAATGCATCTTCATAGTCCACCTTCCATAGCCCGTTTGTGATCAGCTGCAGCTACGGCAGGCATTATTCCACTCCTTAAAAAAATCTCTCACCGAGACAAAACATCTGGAAGGATTCCGAGATGTCTACATATGCCCGGTTATCCTACCTGCCGGGGTGAACCAATTCTAAGAGGCCGTTCTCAACTCTGAAATGTCATGGTCCCTCTTGGTTCTTCGGTTTGCCTTTGTGCACAAACACATTTGGAACCTGGTCAGTTGAGAATTCATTATCTCTGAATGACCCCTCAGCTCACTGGTGACTTCCAAATAACAATGTGCTTGGTAAGGTAATACATTGAATGCTGTCACGTGGACGGCCTATGCTTTCTTCACATTTGTTTATTGGGAGTGTGCAGGTACACATGCAGATGTGTACTCGTGTGGGTGTGGGTGTGCCACGGCACATGTGTGGGTGTGTGTGCTCCATGGCACGTGTGTGGGGGGGGCTGCCACAGCACCTGTGTGTGTGCCACGGCACGTGTGTGGAGGTCAGAGAACAAGAAGTAGGAGTCAGTTCTCTCATTGTACTGTGTGAGACTCAGGAGGTGAGCTGGGTCATCGGGTTTGGTGGCAGAAGCTCTTGCTGAGCCGTGTCATCAGCCTCTAGGACATGCTTCTCTTAGAAAAATGTTTATTTTTCCTTTTGCACGAATCAAGGCAAGTGTCAGTTGATAGAGTGCATGTTTTCAAATTGCAGAAGGCTGCCGATAAGTGACACAAGTTTTGCCCCTAAATGAGAGCACAGGTGCATTGATACTGAATGTTATGCAGATGCTATAATCTGAATTCCTTATTGAAATGTTGAATTGACAAGTTAACAAATTAGAGGGCCTATACTCAGTGTATCTATTACACCAACTCTGTCAGCAGTAAGCACATCGTCCTTCTGTCTTAGAAAAATGGATGGTATAGTCATACTGTCAATCTTACTGTAATTTTATGTAGATTTGACAATGTAAAGGGAAAAGGCAGGTAAGCCCTGCACTGTCAGAGAGTATCTATGGCAAATACGACACATACTGCTCCTCTGGTTTCCCTACTAAGGCATTGTTACATTTCGGGTTTTTGTTTTGGTTTGTTTGTTTGTTTTTTGTTTTTAAGTTTTGAAAAGATGACATAGAAGGATTGTTGTGAGTTCAAGGCCAGCCAGGGCTACCCAGCATTACCCTATCCAAGAAAAAAAAAAGACCCAATTAATATTTCAATTGATACAAAGTAATTGTAGAATATTCTAATTGATACATAATTGTAAACATTGCACAGTTATTTTGATGCAAAGCACAATGATAAAATCCCAGCCACAGCTCATTCATCCTCTTAAACATTTATCATCTCTTAGTGTTAAGAGCATGGAAGGCCCTTCTTTTAGCTCTTTTAAAGCGTGCAGTCAGTGATGATGGGCCTTCAGCCCTTATGATCTTCGTTCTGTTGTTTGGTACTCCAGTTCGGTGATGGTCGGTTACAACAGTGAATATTGCTATGAGTAGACGTGCTATTGCTGTCTCTTCTGTTTTCAAATAAGAAGTACTTAGAGAACTGGTGTAATTCTTTGAGTTCATTCAGGAGAATTTGCTGACACCGACAGGTCATATCTTGCAAGGACAGAACCGAATAATTACTATGTATCCTGGGTTCTACCAGAAGAGGGCTCCACGTTCAGGGGTGTAGTTAACCTTTTCCAGACTGAAATGAAAGGAGGATGGACAGTTCCCTGAGAGCAGATGGAGACTGTAAGAATGCATGAAATAGCCTCCTGGAATATGCTCACAGCATTTAGTTGAAAAGAGCACGAGAGGGTGAAGACTGGGAAGGAGAGCAAAGCAGACAGCGTGAAAGAGAAATGAAACAAAGCCCCGAGCCAGGCAGGGGCTTTCTCGGGTTTCGGGGTTCTGAGGCAAGCAGAGCCAATGCGAGAGTGCTGTGTGGGGTGTAGCTAGGTCCTCCTTGAGCTCGCGCATTAAGCCAGTCCCGTGGCAGGCTTTGCAGAAGAGAAGGTTTATGGGAAAGGCAGCCAAGCACGGAGATAGGAGACCCCAGTGGGAAACCCACCGCCAGAGCACAGGGCTTCAGGGACACAGAAGCTGCCGAAAGGGGATGACCACAAGGGGCGGGCTGGCTGGGAGCCCTCTCGGTGCACACCCCCAGAACGCCAGTGTTAGCCTCATCTGTGCCGGGACGTTGGACCTCTGATATCACGAGGCCACCAGTAGGCACAGACAGAGGCCTGAGTGAAGGGTCTGTGCTTTACACGTCTTGACAGTCAAACGCCTGAACAGTCAAACCTGGGCAGGGAGCCATTATCCTCAATACACACAAGATACACAAGTCCAAAGTGTCACCTGCAGCAAAGCCAGAGGGAGATCATACATAGCTGAGCTGTGTGACCTCCAGAATGAGTGATTTAAATGTAGCCTTAACCAGCTAAGTGCCGAGTCATAGGGGCGCAGAGTCAGAGAAGCAGAAGGGAATGCGTGGCGCTTCCTGTAAATGAGAAGGGCAGCTGTGCGTGCAGACTGGTGATCATCAAAGCTAAGACTCTGTGCTGTGGGAGTCAAAGGCTGCGATTAGACTGCTGCGATAGCCCTGAGACCCTGAGAGATGCCTCTGAGCTAGGGAGGCCATGTAGTCACTTCTATTCAACACCCCTCCAGGAAGCGGTCAGACTCCTTGGGACCTCGGGAGGATTTCTTTTTCTTATCATTTGGTCGGGGGGCAATGTGGAAGGGACTAAAGGTAACTCCACTTCTCTTTAGGGGACATGGGAACCTCTCAATTCTTGAAGGCAAGGGCTGAAGCATCCTGAAAAATGTCATGGGCCTGAGAATACTTTACAGTATTTTCAAATTCTGTAAGATGGATGGATGGGTGGGTGGATGGATGGATGGATGGATGGACGGGTGGATGGATGGGTGAATGGGTGGGTGGATGGGTGGATGGGTAGATGGATGGATGGGTATGGGTGGATGGATGGATGGGTGGATGGATGGATGGATGGGTGGGTAGATGGGTGGATGGGTGGATGGATGGATGGATGGACGGGTGGATGGATGGGTGAATGGGTGGGTGGATGGGTGGATGGGTAGATGGGTGGATGGATGGATGGGTGGATGGATGGATGGGTGGGTAGACGGGTGGATGGGTGGATGGATAGATGGGTGGATAGGTGGGTGGACGGGTGGATGGGTGGATGGATGGGTAGATGGATGGATGGATGGGTGGGTGGCTATGGGTGGGTGGATGGATGGATGGATGGATGGGTGGGTAGATGGGTGGATGGATGGGTGAATGGGTGGGTGGATGGGTAGATGGATGGATGGGTATGGGTAGATGGATGGATGGGTGGATAGATGGATGGATGGGTAGATGGATGGGTGGATGGGTGGGTGGATGGGTGGATGGATGGATGGGTGGCTATGGGTGGGTGGATGGATGGATGGATGGGTGGGTAGATGGGTGGATGGGTGGATGGGTGGATGGATGGGTGGGTGAATGGGTGGATGGATGGATGGCTATGAGTGGATGGATGGATGGATGGATGGATGGATGGGTGGGTAGATGGGTGGATGGATGGATGGATGGGTAGGTAGATGGGTGGATGGGTGGATGGATGGGTGGGTGGATGGATGGATGGCTATGGGTGGATGGATGGATGGATGGATGGGTGGGTAGATGGGTGGGTGGATGGGTGGGTGGATGGGTGGATGGATGGATGGCTATGGGTGGATGGATG